GACCGCCGCAACCGGTCAAGGATTTTAGCCGGGAAAGGGCCTTCCCCAGGTTCTGCTGTTCATCACTCGTCCACTTTCTGTGATCAGGGTCCGCATGTAGAAATTCAAGCTCATCAATGACCCTGTCGAAGACATGGTCGATTTCATCTGGGCAAAGGATGACTACAGAGAGCTTATCGACCGTTTCGTCCTCGTCTTCCCAATCTTCAGCTCCATCAATGGCTTCACAAAGTTCACTGTGAAGCATGTTTTCCCACTCACGGATATCAGTCATAGGAGCAATGGGCTTGGCAGTTCCCAGTCGACGGGGCGGCGCCGGCGTGAATTGCTCAAGTTCTTGTTGCCTCCTCTTTTTGTTTCCGTATCCAGGCTGTATCTGCTGCAGCGGCTCCTCGGATGTGGCCAGTGTATGCACACCTGGTCGTAGCTCTTAGGTGGTCCTCAAGCCGACCTGTAGTCCAGAACTCCGTTTCGCAAGCCCGGCAGTAGGTGCCCTTGACAAACTTCCGGTATCCTGCGATTCTTTCATGGACCGCGTAGAAATGAACGCTGAGGGCGGACTTTGTCTTGAAGGCTCGCCTACAGCATCTGCGCCACCAGCATGGGGACTCTGTGTCTTGCCGAGTGCCAATGCGGAGGTCCTTGCACAGGCTCCAGAGGCACAGCCGAGTTGCCTCTTCTTCCTTGTACTTTTCAAAGTCCTCCTGCATCCGCTTGGCAACTCTCCGCTGGATTCTCGATGTGGAGGCTCTCAGAAGGTGCCACCGCCGTCACGATCAGCTCGAGACTGTGCTGCTTGTCCAGGAACTTCGTCTTCGCCTGAGCAAGGCTCCTCTTAATCCTCTGTGTGGCAACCGTTACAGCCGCAGCAACTGTCTGGTAGATCAAGTTGCACTTCCGGATGCTGGGTCCAATGTGCCGGCCTTCGCCACCCTTGAGGATAGTCCACGCCATGTCGCTCAAATCGTCCCACAGCTTCTTCCGGTAGCTTGTTCTTGCCTTGAGCTGGTCCTTCTGCTCGCTGAGGCGCCAGGCATCTTCAGTAATGATTATTGCTCTGCTCCGGATCTGTGCGGGGAAATGAACTTGGAGGGCATGGCATAGATATTTCTGCAGTCGCTGGCAATGGTCATCAGGATGAACATTCCAGGCAGGCTGCTCGAAGCATTCAAGCACCTGCTTCAAGATCCGCTTGGTTTCTGGGGTATGGAGCTTTTGCGTGTCAAACTTTGGTCTGTATAGAAACGATAACCAGGACTGCCACTGAGGTGTCCCGCCAATTCAATCTCCACCATGCGATGGTCCTCATTGCATCCATTGTCGAAGTGCGGGTTGACCCAGCTGATGATTTCCTGCACCTCAGATTTGCCACCCAGGCGGACAAAATCGATCCTGCTTTCAGATCTTAGAGGATGTACGTGTGTACCTGATTCTCCCGGATGTAGTCTGCTGAATGTGGTCCTTTGACATGACACAGCTCCAGGTCTATGTTGCACTGCCCTCGGAGGTACAGTTCTAGATCATGGGTCTTGTCTCCAAGTGCATTTGGTGCTGTCCATTGACCGCCAGCAGCACGTCCAGCAGCCATGCAGTCGTAGAACATCTTGACACGCAGCCTGCGGAAAAATGGTTTGTGCCTGCACCAACCAAAGCTGGCTTGTTGCAATCGCAACTTGCTCGGCCCCAAGGGCCATGGCTTCGTCCAGTGGCCAGGGCGTATGTGGGTTACCCCAGTTCTGTCCGTTGAGGACTCCAAGTGTGGCAAGGCAATTCCCAGTTTAACCAAGATGATGACAGCATATCCGCTCGTCTTCTTGGCTGCATTTGCTGACCCATCCGTATACATATGCAGTTCGACGTGCTCCTTTGTCTGTCTGAGCAGCTTTTCCCATGACTCCGCTTTGTCCAGAGCGATCTGGTATTGGGATGAACATCTGGTATTTCCAACTGTCGTTGGAGCCAGGTAACTGGCCACGGTTGTCTCAGCCTCACAATGTGATCCAATGTGTGTGGCCACTGCACAGCGTTGCAATTATGTCAAAGCATCTGCCTGGTAACTAGTCAGCAAGATGGAGGATACATCTTCTTCTTGGGGACCTGCTGCGTCGAGGCGATCGATTGATCGGCATTGGCGGCGGAGGTCCTCTCGGAGGGCCGTTATCATTGTTGGGACCTGGCGGGGAGTCGCTGCTGTGGCCAAAGCCGAACGGATCATAGCTACTGGTGTCATCATCCGTTTGTTCCGATGAGGAGCTTGAATCACTCCCACCGTTGTCCTCGCTGTCATTGTTCCCATCTTCGTGTCTCATGTACAGCGTGAGGACTTCCTCCGAGCGCACCTTGATCTTGTCACTGTCCTCAATGGGCTTTCCCCCTTCGACAAGTACTGTAATGTCCAATCTCTCTGTCGGGGTATTTGAAGTCCTGCAACATACTCGGCCGGGTCGAAGATTTTTGTAGGAACCTGTATCCATTGTGGAAAGTGGGTGAGTCCCCTGATATCCACAAAGATCACAGATCTCTCAGGCTCCTCCGGCGATTCTCCTTCTAATGCTGCACAGTGTTCCCAGATTCTTCGACCGGTATGGGACAGGTAGGAGACCTTGTCTTCCGGAACACTTATCCAATGCTCTCCTGTTTCCAGTTCCAGCGCCATAGCTGCAGCCACCTCAACCGTCATCGCATCATCGGAGTGGATCTCTTGTATAACATGGTCATCTTGAGACTGATAGGTCGCATGGAGTCCAACTTTTGGAAGCGGTGGGTCAACTGCGGGGTTCCAGCGTTGAGGGTAGAGTAACCTGGAATCCAAATCATCCGACCATTCACTTTGTGCTCCTCTCGCTAGGCCTGACCTGGACTAGGCCACCCGGCTTGGCCTCAATAGGTCGTCCGGACCTGAGCTTGGATGTGTGTCCGAAGCCATAGATCTTCGCATCCGCAACTTCCAGGTCCGCAATCTGCTGGAGGACAGCCTCTTTGGTTAGTGGGGTGTTGGCGTAGAAGGCGAAAACAGTTCCACCAACTGCTCTGGCATCCAGTGCCAAAGCTGTGCGGTACATCTGTAGCATCCCGGGATTGCTACGCAGATTGCGTAGTAGTCACTGACTTGCGGTGTCGTAGGCAACAGCTCATCAAAGAAGTCGGGGATAATGTTTGCAGAGGTCCGGATGGCCTCCTTCAGCAGCCCCTTGCTGAGTGGAAATTGCATCTCAGCATCTATCATCTCCGACTCGTAATATGGTGCCGCCACCCACATACTCGTGTGCACCGCCTCAATCCTTTCTTGGTCCAGGTCCGTCCTCATCAACATGGTTCCCGGTGGCTGGACCTCATAATTCCCATTGAGCTGCCATTTATTCTGCCATCGTTGTGCAGCCTTAAGCCCAGATCTGGAGTTCGCTGTTTACAGTCGTCGCCACAGGATTGCTAAGGTCCATCCGGGCAGTTGGTGGCATCGCCTCGGTACCCCCAATGTTCCCAGCAAGGACCCAAACAAAGCAAGTCCTCATCGCAATGTTTGGTTGTTTCAGCCCAAATCCCTTGGGTATTAGGCAGCATAGTAGCGACAACAAATGTAGGACAAGGATGGTGAGCAGGTAGCCTGCACAAGTCTGCTGCACCAAGATTTGTCGCATACTCCACTGGGTAGTCCACCAATCCACGATGCGGTCACCCAGGTCAAAGATGTCATAGATGCGCTGGCTGTTGTCAGCTCTCCAAGCATGCTCCCAAGCATGCCCATAGCCTTCAAGGCCACATGTCTCTTGTTCGCGATTGTTGGGCTCTGCAGCGGACCAACCGAAAAAGCCGCCCAACACATTGCCCAGGTGCCGCCTAAATGGTTACTCAGGCTTTTTTATATGCTGATCCCAGGGACGGGCCGAAAAAGCCTTGGGTCTGTTGCATCCAGCATCTGCAGTCGGTCTACTCCTCGTCGGCCTGTTCCCCGAACATTCTCACCAAGTCGCCCACCGGCATGGCCTCGTCGTCTTCCTGCTCCGACTCGGTGATCTGGATCAAGCTCTCCGTCTCCTTGTGCCACTTCTTGTCCAACTTCTCTCCAAGCGAGGCTCCAGACTTTGTGCGTGGCAGCGGCTGTCGGCCGAGGGCTTTTACCGACAGCTTGGCTTGTCCGATTCGCGGCCTGCTCGAGGTGCGGATGGGCCTGGGTATCGAGGCCCTGCTTCCAACACTCGGCGACATCTGGTATGGGTCCGGCGGGATCGGGCTGTGAACCTCCGTGTAGACACCTTCCCGCACCATCCTCCACTTTGAAATCCGTCTGCCGGCGGTGGCGTCATTCTGGCGGCCGCTGTACTCCTCCTCGGTGGTGTGGACTCGGTGTGGCTTGGTCTCTGCTGGCCCTTGAGGATGTCCAGCAACCGAGTCCTCTAGGGCACTCATCCCCCGTGGTCTCGGACTCCTGCAAAAGTGTGTCCCACTCCTTCATAGCCACGTCGTTTGCCTCCGCCTGCTTGGCCCTGGGCTGTCTTGGCTTGAGCAAAAAGCCTCTTTGAGCTCTGTCAGGGCTTCCGCTTGTGCAGCCTCCTGCTCTTGCTGCTCCGTCATTAACTTTGCCTGCTTCTCCATGAACTTCGTGCGCTCCTGAATGAAACTTTTCTTCAGGCTCTTCTGGAAGGCCTCCCACTTCTCATTGGTCGCTGCCAATTCTTTTGCTTCGGCTTTCCGCACTGCGTTGACTGCCTTCTGTACCATACGCAGTAGGCTTCCAGCTCCGGGGGTCTTGTTCTCTGTCTCCTTCCTGGCTGAGTCCTTCGCATTCCTGCTTGCATGTTCTCGACCGGCATCATGTCGTAGGTCGGAAAAGCAGGCCCAGCAGGTTGTCCGCGGTCTTGCTGTCCTCGCCGTCCATATTGCTGGTACGTCTCCGGAGCCCGCGCTCTCTGCCTACGCAGGTTCCTGTGCCAGGTAGGGCTTTGGCTAGACCAGCGACTTCCGCGCTGATTCGATCCGAAAACTTACATACATAGTTACATACATACATACATACATATGTTGCCCCGGAGTGAGGGACATCTTTCCGCTTCATGCGACGTGCAACACACACTCAGGCCCAGAGCTTGTTGCCAGATCACTACAAGCTGACCATCTATAGATACTTCTCGGAGCTCTGACTGCTGGCTGCCATCGCCGGGCATCCTAACGCGAACAACCAGAGCACCAGAGATCGAAAGCTGCTGCCTCAGTGCATCAAGGTCCTATAACTCGTGTAATCGGAACTAGCTTTCAATACAGCAGCCTTCTCTCTCTGCATTTCCGGATGTGCAGCAAGAGTTCGGGAGTTCGGTTCCGAAAAAGCAGACTGAACGCCATGGCTTGCTGATAGGTAGTCGAAGCCCAGGTAGGTCAAGAAGAGTGCAAGCCGCAGCAGCTGAGCGGCACATTGTGCATCATGTAGTTACACTGCGGCAAAGTCCCCGGTGCAGCCCGAAGCACGGTTTGTGCCGGGCCGACGCTGGCTGTCTGCTGAGCACGAAATGGGCTCATGCTTACAAGTCAGACTTCAATATTGTCGATGTCTTTTTGTCCCGTTTTGGAGACTTCCCACATCCTGTGATGAGGAACGGGGTTGGCAAGACTTCTGAACCCTGCAGGCATGGCTTTCGTGGCCGGAAGCAAAAAGCACAACTCAAGCAGCTCCTTCGTCTGCGGAGATTGACTGGCCACGCCGCCCTCGCACGATCATATACGGTTGTCCCAGCCAAAGGTTGTTAGTTACTAGTTTGCACAGAAACTAACCCTCCGCAACAGAGTTAGTTTCCGAGCGAGAAGCTATCACAGCAGAGTTAGCTTCCGAGCGAGCACTGACCACGAGAAACTAACCTTCCGCAACAGAGTTCGTTTCCGAGCGAGAAACTATGAGAAGCTAACCTTCCGCAAGAGAGTTAGTTTCCGAGCGAGAAGCTATCACAGCAGAGTTATTTTCCGAGCTCCGGGTGTGTTTCCGAGAGGAGAAACTATCTCCACCCAGAAAGGTGAGTTTCGGCGCAGGCAACTAACCCCACAGGGATAAAGCAAACAAATTTCTGTCCATAGACTTTGTTTTTTCGCTGATCAAACAAACTCACCCCCCCGGCCATAGTTTGTTTTTGGTTGTCGAAACAAACGTGTTGCCCACGGCATGTACGCGTGCCACTCCCCCAGGGGTCGCCAAACACACAAACTTCCGTCAGCAAAGTTTGTTCTTCGCAGCTCAAACAAACTCGCCAGGTCGCAGTTTGTTTTCGACTGTCGAAACAAACTCTACCACATATACGCCTGCCACTCCCCTAGGGGTCGCTGAAACAAACAAGCTTCCGTCAGCACAGTTTGTTTTTCGCGACTCAAGAAAACTCGCCTGGCCATAGTTTTTTTGGTTGTCAAAACAAACTCGCTGAGCCGGAGTTTCGAAGTTAGTTAGTTTATTTCCCTTCCCCCCCTCCTCTTTCCAGACCTTCTCCTGTGGGAGTTTGGATTTCGCTGCCGAAACCAACTCCCGAGTTTGTTTTTGACCGCAAACAAACTCGCCCGACCGAAGTTGGTTTTCTGACCGCTGAAAAAAACTCGTCAAGCCGGGGTTACGAAGTTAGTTTGTTTTCCCCCCCTCCCCCCAACCCCTTCCTTCCCTTCTCGTCTACCTAACAAACCTTTACCTTGCAAGTTAGTTTATCTCTGGCAAACAAGGTCCTTTAAGTTTTTTGTTAAAACTAACAAATCCTGCCTCAACCGTTACTCCGCACGATGCTCATGGCAGTCGTGCACTTGCGTGTCCTGAGCATTGTCAGGAGGCCACCACGAAACTGTGGTGATTGCCACCGTGTCTCCGAGCAGCAAGGACGCTTGCTTCCACTTTCTTCTGAGAAGACCATGCTGGAAACTTTCTTTGTGCTGGTACTGTAGCGGGGTTGCTCGACCAGGGACGCCGCACAGAGCTGTCACCTTACACGCGCCTAATTTCTAGCTTGCTGTCATGATTTCAGAAGCTAAGGATCGACCCAGCCTCAACTCCAAACCAAATCAACTGCAAGTACGATGTTATGACAGGACACGGAGCACTCGCTGAACACCCTCCGGCATGCATGCATCATGGACGGCCAGGGACAGGCTCTCCTTGACACGGCTCCCAAGTTGAGCTTTGACAAAACATTGTTGAGTTTGAGGATTCAACTTGCTCAATTATGCATTAAGCGCTCTGTCACTGTATTGCTTGATTTTGCTTTGCGGGCTGGAAGCAAAGTTGTGCGGTGAGTCTTTGGCTCTTTCGAAAAGGGAGGCTCGGCATGGACATGCCGTCAGTCAAATTCTCACCCTGCAGGGCAAGAGCGACAAGGGCTCACACCTCGGCGGTGGAGCAGTCACCAAGGAGCTGCTGTATGACTCGGCCAAGCAGTGCAGTGCGCACAGTACAAGCTCCAAACTCTTACGGGCCATACTGGTAGGTGCAGGTTTATTGAGATGAGGCCCTCCCCAACAGACATGACGCATGGGTTTGGGTGCAGAAGTGGTGCAGATTTTGAGCCCTGACAAGGAGCTACTTGGTGAGATTGATGCCACCACCTTAGCGGATCCGAGGTGACAAATTTAGCATTTGCGGATGAGGATTTTTTCCAAGCCGCATACTATCGATAAGCCCGGTCTTGCCTTAAATGCTCACGGAAGCAGCAGGCAGAAGGACGGTCAGTGGTCTAGCATGCAGTGGGAGAAGCTGCAGCCTGGGCTCACACGGATGTTCACGGGTACAGCTTTAGACCGCATTGCTGATATTGCTGTGTTTGGGGTCGCAGATGGAGGTCGAGGCACCTGACGCAGCCAGGACCAACTAGGACAGGTTTTGCAAGCCAACCCGCGGTGATGACTGCTGCACAAGCTCATGGAGCTATGCAGGAGCCTTGGCCACAATGCTAGCTATGCCAATGAGACCATGACGTGACATGCCTTCTACAGAGTGTGGTAACAGATGCGCACTTCTTTGACAGTAGAACTGTTGAAAGAAATTGTGCAGTTTCGCAAGCCACCAGTTTCTGGCATGCTTGTACGGGGCAGTGCTCCTGTCACACATGTCCGGTGGCTGGTTTGCGTGGAAGCCGCCTTCATTCCTAGTTGTGTTTGTCCACACCGAGTCTGCTTTGCAATATTGCTGTCTGGCTTGGACGCCAAGGTGACCTGCGGTACTCTGACGTTTCAGCCGTTGGGGGTGGGCACGAACAAGTGGGGCACGGACCCGGCGAAGCTGCTTTGTTGCGCTTAGACTGGTTGTGAATCCCGAAGCTACATCAAGGGAAGCTCTGCAAGCAACCCACACAGTTCTTCACGCTGAAATCAATGATGCAACATGCGTTGCATTTTTTTAACTGAGCAATTTGGGAAAGCAAGCCCGTTGACATCCTGCGATACAGTAGTGTGGTGGCGGTGGCAGTGGCGGTGGCGGTGGCGGTGGTGGGGTGGAGTGGGGTGGGGTGGGGTGGGGTGGGGTGGGGTGGGGTGGGGTGGGGTGGGTGGAGTGGAGGTGAGTGGAGTGGAGGGGAGTGGAGCGGAGTGGAGCGGAGCGGAGTGG